AGAGAAAGAAAGAAAGAAAGAAAGAAAGAGAGAGAGAGAGAGAGAGAGAAAGAGAGAGAGAAAGAGAGAGAGAAAGAGAGAGAGAAAGAGAGAGAGAAAGAGAGAGAGAGAGAGAGAGAAAGAGAGAGAGAAAGAGAGAGAGAGAGAGAAAGAAAGAAAGAAAGAAAGAAAGAAAGAAAGAAAGAAAGAAAGAAAGAAAGAAAGAAAAACCTTTTTTTGCTCCACTCAGATTCTCTGCACCTGTCCCTCCCTAGCAATGTTCCCTCTAAGCTGAGTGAGTGTGAGCCAGCTTGCAGTCTTTTAGCCTCCGGCTCACACATTTTTGTCTCCGCTCAGGAAGGATGGGGCTCCAGAGCAAACTAATTTATGCAGCGGCCAAATGGCTCGCTCACAGCTTCGATGCCAGGAGCTCACAAAGTAGCATTTTTGCTCACAAGACTCCACAGCTTAGAGGAAGCGTTGGAGTTTTAACTGTTTTCACGTATTGTCTGTCAGCCGCCCTGAGCCTGCCTTGGCGGGGAGGGTGGGTTACAAATGAACGGAATACATCAATAATAAATAAATTAAATAACTTACAAAGTCTGCCAATTTGTCCCTGGGGGAGGAGTCCCTTTCCCTGCTTGCCCCCCCAACCCCTTTTAGGAGAAGGTGCTGGGAGACGGGGTGGGATGGAGTGCCTGACTCCAGGCAGCAGGAGAGAGACGCCAGCTGGGAATTAATTTCTCCCTGCACACAGAAACATAGTCCTGCAGGGTAGAAAAGTTTTTTGCACTCTCAGCCATGATGCTTTTCTGTAGCGGGGAGTCTCCAGCAGAGGGGAGCCCCCCCAAAAAACGTGTTCCTCCGACTGTAGTCTCAAGGGAAGCTGCCTCGAATCCATGCCTCGAAGAATCCCTGTGTGGACAGCCGCAGCAAATTAAAAACAAAACTAGACTGACTCACACGCCCCATACCGGGGGAAGGGAAAACAGCTGCCCCTGGGGGCAGTGTTCCCTCTCAGCTGAGTTAGTGTGAGGCAGCTCACAGTTTTTTAAGCCTCCGGCTCACACATTCTTCTCTTAGCTCAGGAAGGAGGGCTCCAGAGCGGTGTTCCCTCTCAGCTGAGTTAGTGTGAGGCAGCGCACGGTTTTCTAAGCCTCCGGCTCACACATTCTTGTCTTAGCTCAGGAAGGAGGGCTCCAGAGCAGTGTTCCCGCTCAGCTGTGTTAGTGTTAGTTTTTTAGCCTCCGGCTCACACATTTTTGTCTCCTCTCAGTAAGGGGGGCTCCAGAGCAAAGGAATCAATCTAGTAGCCGAATGGCTGGCTCACAACTTTAATGCCAGTGGCTCACAAAGCAGAATTTTGACTCACAATGTTCCCTCTGTGGAGTCTTGTGAGCGAAAATTCTACTTTTTACGCTACTGGCATTAAAAGTTGTGAGCGAGCGATTTGGCTGCTGCATAAATTAGTCTCCTCTGGAGCCATCTCCTTCCTGAGCTAAGACAGAAACGTGTGAGCCGGAGGCTAAAAAACTGTGAGCTAGCTCACGCTCACTCAGCTTAGAGGGAACGCTGCTCACAAGACTCCACAGCTTAGAGCAGTGATGGCGAACCTTTTAGAGGCCGAGTGCCCAAACTGCGACCCAAAACCCACTTATTTATCACAAAGTGCCAACACGGCAATTTAGCCTGAATACTGAGGTTTTACTTTAGAAAAAACAACTCGTACATCAATTTAAGATGATCCAAACAAAGTAAGGTAAGCAATCCCAAATGCTTTCATTTACTTAAAATTATTTGGCAGAGAATTCGACACTTTAACGATGGGCTGGGCCTGGGTGCCCACCAATGTTTCCTCTAAGCTGTGGAGTCTTGTGAGCAAACATTCTACTTTGTGAGCTACTGGCATTAAAGTGGTGAGCGAGCAATTTGGCTGCTGCATAAGTTAGTTCGCTCTGGAGCCCTCCTTCCTGAGCCGAGGCAAAAATGTGTGAGCCAGAGGCTAAAAAACAGTGAGCTAGCTCACACTGACTCAGCTGAGAGGGAACCCTGGACTGCCCACAGAGAGGGCTCTGAGTGCCACCTCTGGCACCCGTGCCATAGGTTCGCCACCACTGGCTTAGAGGGAGCGTTGACTGGGGTGGAGGGGGGGGGGATTTGATTTGGCAGTCCATCCCGCCTTGCTTGTGACATTCAACTTCGCCCCATAGCAGTTTCAGGCAAGAAGGTCTCAGAAAGGCGGGGGGGGGGGGGGGGGTGGGGGGACCCC